TACAAATGAAACGAATTGAATTTTACAACTTTTCCATTTCATTGAAACAGCGATGACATACGCTTATCTTCCACTGAAACCAGGTAACTGTTTTGTTTTTTCCACGTAATCAAGACTAAATATGTATGACACGTTAAAGAATTCTTTCTTTCTTTCATTCTTTTCTTTCTTTCCTTCTTTCATTCTTTCTTCCATTCTTTCTTTCCTTCTTTCTTTCTTTCATTCTTTCCTTCTTTCTTTCCTTTCTTTCTTTCATTCATTCTTTCTTTCATTCATTCTTTCTTTCCTTCTTTCTTTCTTTTCTTCTTTCTTTCCTTTTTCTTTCTTTCTTTCTTTCTTTCATTCATTCTTTCTTTCTTTCCTTCTTTCTTACTTTCCTTCTTTCTTTCTTTCATTCTTTTTTCTTTCCTTCTTTCTTTCTTTCCTTCTTTCCTTCTTTCTTTCTTTCTTTCTTTCATTCTTTCTTTCATTCTTTCTTTCTTTCCTTTTTTCTTTCTTTCTTTCTTTCATTCTTTCTTTCTTTCCTTTTTTCTTTCTTTCATTCTTTCTTTCCTTTTTTCTTTCTTTCTTTCTTTCTTTCTTTCATTCTTTCTTTCTTTCCTTTTTTCTTTCTTTCATTCTTTCTTTCTTTCTTTCTTTCTTTCATCCTTTCATCCTTTCATTCTTTCTTTCTTTCCTTCTTTCATTCTTTCTTTCTTTCTTTCTTTCATTTTCAAACCGAAAACAAGTAGTGTATTTTCCCACTCTTCCAGGCAGTAAAAACGGAATAGTTTATTATTTATGACGTATTGGTCCAGCTTAACGATCATGGAAAGTAACTAAGAAACTAACGAAAGGAAAGACAAACACAATTATATAATAATAATAATAATAATAATAATAATAATTTCGTATCAATATCCCCTACCATCCTTAAGGAACAGATGTAAAATAGCAGTTTTATTATATGTTAAAATCTTAAGCGCCATATATAATTATTTTTTATTGAAACGCTATTAGCTACTTTTTCTTTAAAGAGATTTAAAATTCAGGTGATACCTGATAAATTGTTGCTACATATGCAACAACTTTAAACCTGTAAATACACTAATAGATGTTTTTGAACATTCCTTACTGAAACGGGAGCAGGGTTTAATTCAGCCGTAGATTATGTCATTATATACGACAGCTAAAAATAAATTCACACTAGTCTGACCTGAAAAGAAGGTAAAAAGCAACATTATCAAGCCATAATTATATTACGTCACAGCTAATTTAAATTAATAAATTTTTGTATACTTTCTTTTATTCGATAATACAGAAGAAATGAAATAAAGAAAAAGGGAGAAGAAATTAAATAAAGAAAAAGAGAGAAGAAAAAAGAAATGAAAAAATGAAATGAAGAAAAGAGAGAAGTAAAAAAATAAAGGAAACAAAGAAGAAATTAAATAATGAAAATAGGGAAGAAATGAAATGACCAAGTTAGTCCTTGATCTAAGCTTTCGGCTCACATGAGCCATCTTCAGAGTGGTTATACGGACATTTTGACAAAGATATTCACTATCGAAAATGATATTTTGTTACGTTGACAACATATCAAAATATCATTCTCAATGTTGAATATCTTTGTTAAAATGTCCGTATAACCATTGAACAATTTTTGTCTTTATTTTCACTCGAAATTAAAGCAAATATACAACCTTTAGAAAGGCTCATGATCAGACATAATAGACGTTCATTGTCTGTTATATGTTTAAATACTTATCTGCTGCTCTCTTTCTCTCTCTCTCTCTATATATATATATATAACTATATATATATATATATATATATATATACTCGACTCTCCCGTCGAATCCGACGTATGAGGGTCAAGCAGATCAGTTCCTAGGAAACCGACAGCCCGACAACAGCAGATTTGATTATAGTGGTGAAGGTTTTGTACAGGACCATCCACACTTTTTGAAGGGCCGAATACAGAGACCTGCTGCACTACGTGCCACAAGGTCCCTAAACGACCCTTTTGAATTCAGAGTTGTCCTCCTCCTAGACCAGTTGCCATCCAACGCTATAGAACCCAGTCTGTCCTGCTATTTACACATAGCTGGAGGGAGAAGAGGTTTCACACCTTTCCCAAGGGTATTAGCACGTAAGTGAATGTAAATGATTGGACTGGAATTCGAACTCGGCTCTCCGATTCCTCAATCCGAGCCGCTATCCATTGCCTCCTTTCATTACTGACGATTGATATGTTACTGCGATTAAGCTCTTTATTTGATTTTTCTTGTTTCCATACAAGGCTTTTCTTTTTTGGACACAAAGTGTATAAAAATTGTTCAAAAAGGTCTGCATTCCCGTGCGCTTCCGGCTATTCTTCTAGTCATTATCAAGGATGATTTTATTTTTAAATTTAACTGAATGTATTGGTTGTATGCATTTATCTAGAGTTATAGGGATGTTTTATTTTCAAATCACGGCTAATATATTGTGGCAGTGTTCGTAGTTAATATTATTAAGTATTGGCTTTTTCTTTTTTATTATTAAGGCTTCCGTTATTTTTAATCTTTTTTTAAAATATGGATGAGGTCATTATGCTTGTATTTTCAACTAGTATGAGGGTCAAGCAGATCAGTTCCTAGGAAACCTACAACCCGACAACAGTACATGAGATTTGATTATAGTGGTGAAGGTTTCGTGTAGGACCATCCACACTTTTTGAAGGGCTGAATACAGTGACCTGGTGCACTACGTGCCACAAGGTCCCCAAATGACCCTTTTGTATTCAGTGTTCTCCTTCTCCTAGATTGGATAGAGTCTTGTAAGTTTGTGTATTTTGAATTAGGATCTAATTGCGCTGTGGTTAAATAGGTGCAATGTAAGTCGTCTGGATAGGCATGTCGTAGTGTGACCGATGTAATTTTTTATTTATAAATATCTTCTACAAAAGCCAAATTCACGTCAACTATGAGAAGATGAATCTTCCCTTAGAAATTCCATAAAGAAATACACTACCCCAGTTGACCCGAACAAAAACAAGTAAATTAAGCATCTATTACAAACAATATAAAAACAGCTAATTTCATTGTCAAAAATAACAACACACCTGGAAATTGAAAACTACAAAGATCCAACATAATTGAGAAGTTCAAAAGCCCCTTAAAGAGATGTGTTCCTGATATAAACCGAAATCATAAATAATTACATAGGTCACACTACAACATGCCTATCAAGACGACTTACGTTACACCTAAAGAGATTAGAGAACGAAAACAAATTTTTTAAAAAATAACTAGACAAAACATGTCTATATTATTTTATGAAACATGATTGAATATATATATATATATATATATATATATATATATATATATATATATATATATATATATATATATATATATATATATATATATATATATATATATATATATATAAGCAAAGAAAGAAGGCGGAAGGTTATTATTCAAGCATATTTTTATTCGTTTCAGTCGAGTGATGAAGTCATAAGAATCTAGTCAAATCTAATATAGAAAATAATTTTTCCTCTTTTAACTTACAGGAAACAAAAAGTACGTGATACCCAATGAGGATCGAGTTCACTTGTAATAGCCAACCAATCTAGCTCGTTAAAAATTACCTCGCACCAGTGTACCCCAAAATCATTTCCTGTTACTGCGTACCTCGTTTGCTGAAATCTTTATATTTACCAAACATAATTTAGTCTGGAACAAGACCGTGAATATAAAAAACTAAGTAATGATGGAATTACTATATTATTAGAGGCTGTTTGTCGGATTTACCTTAGTCTGATAAAAAAAAGACCAGTAAAGATCAAACTCCTATTATAGTCATATTATTAAAATTAGCTCTGGCTGGCACAAGGTCACAAATGTGAAGCACTTAGTGTATTATTTCTCTCTTTTTTTAGCTATCATTATACATATTTATATTTTATTGGCCATGTCACTTCAGGATGTGACCGATCATAACTCTCACTAACTTTCTTTGCTGTAAGCTTTGCTTGTCCCTTGACTAAAAATCCCAGTCTGCCATTCATTTGCACAGCCTCGTTAAGGAGGTCACACACTGTTTCTCACTTCCATTTTATTGCATCCTGGGAGTGCCAAATTATCTAAGCCCTCTTTCCTCACTATGTGTCTCAGAAATTTCAGCTCTTTCTGAATCGAAGAACAAGGGTCCTCGTCACCCACATATTTCTTGTAACTTCCTCGTTACTAAGATGTTACGTACTTGGTATGTTTAGCATCCTTCTGTAGAACCAAATGTATTCTATTTTCTTCTTATTCTACAAGACAAATTGCCCAGTATTCTTTGAAATGTAAGAGGAATGGTATAAGTTAAGTAATCCAGCACCCTCATCTTTATTTCCCATCTATTTTTCCTCTTCTCCGTACTTCGTTTAGGTTTTGAAAATCCTGTTATCATTAACATCACCAGGTCGGGAAGTATTTTCGGATTACCCTGGCTCGTTTCTACCAACAATCTCTGTCAAACATCGCTGTCGGTAGATACTCTAGATGGAATTCAGACTCATCTACAATTTGGAAAATGTAGGTGTGATGAGGTCTTCCAACCGATCATTTGTCACGCAATGTGGCGATAAAAGGACGTCACTCATGAATTTTGACTTACTTCTCCAGGAGTGACCATTCTAACTCAATCCATCTCTCTGTTAGCAAAACATAGATAGGACGAATGTAATGTAGGAGTGATGACGTCTTCCAACCGATCATTTGCCGCGCAATGGGTCGATAAGAGGACGTCAGTCACAAATGTTGACTTACTTCCCCAGGAGTGACCAGCTAGCTGAATCCATCTCTCGCTTAGCAAAACTGAGATAGGACGAATGTAATGTAGGTGTGATGAGGTTTCCAACCGATCATTTGCCATGCAATGGGTCGATAAGAGGACGTCACTCACAAATGTGGACTTACTTCCCCAGGAGTGCCCAGCTAGCTGAATCCATCTCTCTCTTAGCAAAACTGAGACAGGACGAATGTAATGTAGGTGTGATGACGTCTTCCAACCGATCATTTGCCGCGCAATGGGTCGATAGGAGGACGTCACTCACGAATTTTGACTTACTTCTCCAGGAGTGACCAGCTAGCTGAATCCATCTCTCCCGTAGCACAACTGAGATAGGACGAATGTAATGTAGGTGTAATGAGGTCTTCCAAGCGATCATTTGCCGCGCAGTGGGTCGATAGGAGGACGTCACTCACAAATGTTGACTTACATCCCCAGGAGTGACCAGCTAGCTGAATCTATCTCTCTCTTAGCAAAACTGAGATAGGACGAATGTAATGTAGGTGTAATGAGGTCTTCCAACCGATCATTTGCCAAGCAATGGGTCGATAGAAGGACATCACTCACGAATTTTGACTGACTTCCCCAGGAGTGACCAGCTAGCTGAATCCACCTCTCTCTTAGCAAAACTGAGATAGGACGAATGTAATGTAGGTGTGATGACTTCTTCCAACCGATCATTTGCCGCGCAGTGGGTCGATAGGAGGAGGTCACTCACAAATTTTGACTTAATTCCCCAAGGAGTGAACAGCTAGCTGAATCCATCTCTCTGTTAGCAAAACTGAGATAGGACAATTGTAATGTAGGTGTGATGAGGTCTTCCAACCGATCATTTTCCGCGCAGTGGTTAGATAGGAGGACCTCACTCACAAATGTTGACTTACTTCCCCCAGGAGTGACCTGCTAGCTGAATCCATCTTTCGCT